AAAGACTAGCAAATCAATCATTAATAAAAAGGACCGCGTATGCAATTTTTCGTTACGTAATTGAAACTTAATTACAAAACAGGATCTTCAGTTAAATTGAAATAAGGAGTTACACATCAACAGAAAATAAAAGCATTAAAACTTTTTTACTGTATACATTAGATTCGTTGCAAAATTCTAAGAAATATTTTCCTTTACAGTTTTTCAATCGGATGGTTAATAATGGAGTAATTGACGTTTACAGTTGAGTCGCGATGTTCGCTGCAAACAGAAGTACGCTGACAGCAATTTGTTTCTTTATGCAGCGGAGACACTGTGCTCTGATTGGTTAATTTTTAAATCGTCAATTACTCAATAAATATACGTCCGATCGAAAAACTGAAAAGGAAAACATGTCTTAGAATTAAATGGAGAATCTAGTGACAAAAAGTCATAAAAGTAAAAAAGACAACGAAATCTTACTCAACCCCATTAGCCAATAATGATATTTGCGAGTACTAATTGCGTAAACAAACTAGTGTTGATGTTAATTTCTAGTAATTAACGGTAATAAAGTCAGTCCAGCCACCTTCAGGTAATTATAGTGGATATTGCAACAAAACTCTAGGTAACATAAATATCTGCCATGTAGGTGCACTCACAGGGGTCATATATTTTCAGTTCTCATGTCTGCACAATTATTATCCCATTATTAACAAAGGATGGACCGCTGTTATTATTTCAGTACTTTTTAAAACACTTAATACCTAATTTTAATTCCAATTAGTAGTAATTGTGAGAGAAACTGGGTGAAGGACTTTTTACCTTTAAAGGTTCTAAAATTACCAGGTCTAAATGTGTGTAAAACATAACTATACGTAAAATTTATATATTTTTCTTATGTACAATTCACTTTTGTTGCTAAAAAAATGCAAAATAAAATAAAAGTTTTAAGTAATACGGAAATGTAATAACTTTAAATTATTTCCCGTTTGAGAGACGTTTTAAAATTTATTGTCCGTTATATTTTATTTGACATTAGTAAACCTACCGGTTTTGAGCATAAAACTAAATATGTAATTAGGTGCTTAATTAGTAAAACCGCGGCTGTAATTTAATAATTTCAATTTTACACGGCGACAGCACAGCCGCTTCGTGTATGGTCACCTTCACCTGGCTTGAGTGATGATTATAATAAAACGTATCGTAAATCAAGTTACCTTAGAGCGTCGTCGACAAGTTCACAATTTAGTAAAAAAATTTTTCTGAAGTAACCAGTCAAATAAATTAGCACCTGAGTAATGTAAATACATGATAGATTTTATATCTTTATTTTCGCCGTCGCCAATGCATAGATAAATAAGTATGTTGTTATGTTGTTAAAAATAATGTATATATTCTTGATATTAGGTACTACATATACCACACACAAAATGTCATCGTGAATAATCGGACAATATAAATAATTATCCTTTAAAAGTTGCTAGTTACTAGGAGACGTTTAACGATAACATTGATTCTAAATTTGCAGTAAGTTTTGATCATAAAATGTTAAAATGTTTCCTGTTCTGCTGAATACTATAAATAACTATTATACGAGTGACTCGTTTGTTTCAATTGTTAGCTGTTTCTTGGCAACGCAACCGCATTGTTATACGAGTGACTCGTTTGTTTCAATTGTTAGCTTTTTCTTGGCAACCCCATTGTTATACGAGTGACTCGTTTGTTTCAATTGTTAGCTGTTTCTTGGCAACCCCATTGTTATACGAGTGTCACTTTTTTTTTTGAATTGTTAGCTGTTTCTTGGCAACCGCATTGTTATACGAGTGACTCGTTTGTTTCAATTGTTGGCTGTTTCTAGGCAACAGCATTGTTGCCCGCGTGACTCGTTTGTTCTATTTGTTTGCAAGTCTCTTAGCAACCGAATTGCTGCTCGCGTGACTCGTTTATTTTGACATCAGGAAACCCTGTCAGTAACATGGTACATCACGAGCTGTACATTTATACTAACAATCGCCTTAATGCGATAAACAATTTGAATCTCTGTAGATACAGCAATCGTTGTTGAGCAATATCGTTCTCACTTATCTCAGTCATCTGCGATTCCAGCATATAAATCATCACCGACACATCCCACGCCTCCTCTGCTCTCGTCCGATGGACTGAAAGCTGAAAGCTCACTCTTGATCCAGAATGCGACTTAAAACGGCGCAAGGTACGAAGCCGTGCAACGACTACTTCGATTATAATAGCAAAGTAATGTTGCATAACGCAGATAACTAGGCGTGGTAACCTTAACCTATGCATTTGGTCACGATATTCCGCTGGTATTGTTGAAGAAGACGAAGTACCTAGGTACCATGGAGAGAAAGAGCAAACAACAATCAATTGAACGATATTGTCGACGACATGAATTAACAAACAATCCCAAAAAATACATATAAAAATGAACGAAAATATCCTGCTTATAGTTTAATACAAAGCTCAGTAGTTCTGGGTTGTTGCTCAGGTGTAAAATTATTCTAAATTGATAGAACTTTTTTTAACAGTTAGATGTAAATTATGCCATTTAGGTTTGTTCACTCCTGGAATAGTTTACGCCAATTATTGTGAACGAATACTTGATATGATGGTAGGTACCAATGGTACCAATACTCAGTTGCTGTATAAACGGGTGGCATTTAGGCAGAGTAGTCTATTTCGTGACTGTTTTTATCGATAATTGGGAACCCACTATAAACACAGTATTAACTTTAGAAAATCTTGATTGTTTAGTTAATATTATGAAGATGTAATAAGAACAATAAATATTCACTTTGAATGTCACTAAACTTCTACCAGACATAAAAATTAGATACAAAAAAAAAGTTGATTCTGATTTGCACCCCCCTCAATTAGTTGTTACTTAACAATCGCAATGTTCTTCTCATGTATTGTTTGTTTCATTTGTCTACTAGTTTCTTGGTAATCGCATTGTTGTCCGCAGGACTCGTTTGTTTCATTTGTCTAGTAAATTCATGGCAACCGCATCGTTATACGCATGACTCGTTTGTTTCATTTGTCTAGCAATTTTTTAACAAATACATCGTTGTTATAATGACTCGTTTATTTCATTTGTCTAGCAATTTCTTAACGAACACATCGTTGTCATAATGACTCGTTTATTTCATTTGTCTAGCAATTTCTTAACAAACACATCGTTGTCATAATGACTCGTTTGTCTCATTTGTCTAGCAATTTCCACACAATCACATCGTTGTCATAATGACTCGTTTGTTTCCTTAGTCTAGCAGTTTCTTGGCAATGGCATTGTTGCCCTTATGACTCGTTTGTTTCATTTGTCTAGCGATTTCTTAACGAACACATCGTTGTCATAATGACTCGTTTGTTTCATTTGCCTGGCAATTTCTTAACGAACACATCGTTGTCATAATGACTCGTTTGTCTCATTTGTCTAGCAATTTCCACACAATCACATCGTTGTCATAACGACTCGTTTGTTTCCTTAGTCTAGCAGTTTCTTGGCAATGGCATTGTTGCCCTTATGACTCGTTTGTTTCATTTGTCTAGCGATTTCTTAACGAACACATCGTTGTCATAATGACTCGTTTGTTTCATTTGCCTGGCAATTTCTTAACGAACACATCGTTGTCATAATGACTCGTTTGTCTCATTTGTCTAGCAATTTCCACACAATCACATCGTTGTCATAATGACTCGTTTGTTTCCTTAGTCTAGCAGTTTCTTGGCAATGGCATTGTTGCCCTTATGACTCGTTTGTTTCATTTGTCTAGCGATTTCTTAACGAACACATCGTTGTCATAATGACTCGTTTGTTTCATTTGCCTGGCAATTTCTTAACGAACACATCGTTGTCATAATGACTCGTTTGTCTCATTTGTCTAGCAATTTCCACACAATCACATCGTTGTCATAACGACTCGTTTGTTTCCTTAGTCTAGCAGTTTCTTGGCAATGGCATTGTTGCCCTTATGACTCGTTTGTTCATTTGTCCAGCAGTTTTTTAGCAACGGCATCGTTATCCGCGTGACTCGTTCGTTTAGGTACACTGTTATTCTTTCTCTCATCAATTATGTCGTTTAAAACAATTGTTTTTGTTAACGAATCACGGAAATGTCTACTGGAAG